CTTGAGCCATGCCCCCAGCAGGCTCAGGCTTTTATCACAACCCTTTCTCCAGAGGGGTGAGGATACACCCTCAATTGCAATAAAGATCTCACACTAAGCCCCACCTCTTTAGGTTCCAACTCTCTCCCAATACCACCGTGGGAACCAAGCTCCCAACATAGGAACCTTGGGAGACAAACCACATCCACACATACTAGTCCCCAAAAGATCTTTTATATCCATTTTCTTTTCATACTGAAATTCAATTAAAACACATTGTTTTTTGCTTACAGGATATAAGTTGCTTTTATTCTAGATCATCCCTCCCCCCAGTTTTGTTTCTTCTGTGGCATTGTCTTGGGAAGAGGTCAGTTATCTTGTGGACTAGAATTCAAAACTAGAGCCTTGATTAACTCAAGTTAAATATTAGAGCAAAAATGACTCAGAGGTGATGTGGGATCTTCCCATCACTTAAGAAAACACATAATGTCTGGTTGTCCTCGCTGGTCACACAGTTTGATCTCAGGGTAGGGTGGTGGGCCAATCTCATTGGATATGGCATACTTTCTCCAATTCTCCACAGACACCACACTTATTTGTTTTATACTTGCTTAACAAACTCATTTTATCTTGCTTAGGAGACATATGTGAACCTTGACCTAAAGTGTATCACATACTGTAGTCTGGAGTGAGTGATGAAAAGCATATACCCTGTGTCCTGGAAGAGGGTAATAAGGCTTGGAGCAGGGCGTGCTCAAACAATGTCTACCGAATGATTAAAGTTAGAGGAATATAAGTTAGAAATATTGGAAAGGAAATAGTATGTGAGGAAGATTTCAGCAAATCATGTTCCTGAGTTACATGTGGTTCAGAGAAGTCTTGTATCCTTACATATGCGGGGCATACTGTATAGCTCTAGGGACTGGTTTCTTATTTGAATTGGACAGAAAAATATAGTCCCAGTGAGAAATCAAAACAAGGAAGAAGAGATGAAGTTAAAATTCTGCAGAAGATGAGGAGTTTTTGTTAGCTGAAGTTTCCTGATCCAGACTGGTTTTTTCAGAAGCAGATATTAGATAGGTATGACATGCAAGTTACTAATTAGTACTAATATGTGTGCAAGGAAAAGGGCAGAAGGAGACATAGCCTCAATCAACCTAATTAACTAGCTCAGTCTTTATACTTAGGTCTCATTCAATCACAGGATAAGTGTTCGCACAACACAGAAATGATTTTGAATAAGGTAGCTCTCCACAGTTTAGGCAAATCCTGAAAGGCATGACTGTTGGTGGCTACCCGCTGAAGATGCTTTCAATAGCTAGAGAAATTAAGTCCTACTCAAAGGAAGGTTTGGGTGGTACAGAATATGTCTACTGAAGATCCTGCATTTAACATTCTATTCCTATATCTAAATAGTTACTGAAGCATTCCTTCTGCTAAGGATTAGTTACCAAAGTATAAACATTCAAATTATACTGCCATTTTTTTCAACCTTATTTTGACATTTCTTTCTTTATTAGGAAACTCAGAAAATATAATATGAAATGATCCAGGAGCTGGGGATGTAGTGCAGTGGTGGAGTACTTGCCTAACATGTGCAAGGACCCCCATTTAAACCCAGCAATGCAAAACAAAACAAAGCAAAAAAAGACCCAAGCCTCTCTCAAGAACCTGGTATTGCTTGACTGTCCCACAGGGTAGAAAATTGAGCCCATTTTCAAAGTTGCAAGTTACTTTGGTATCTTAAATGAAAAACACCCTGCAAATATCAATGGGTCTAGGTCTAGGATGGTAGATTGGCATTACTGCCAAAGGGAAATAAATGGAGGTGGCTGTATTAGTTTCCTGTTGTTTCTGTAACAAGTTAACACAAACCTGGTGACTTAAACAACAGAAATGTATTGGATCACAGTACTTGAAGGTCAGAAGTCCAAAATCAGTACCACTGGACTGAAGGCAGAGGCTTGAGGGGAACATCTACTTTGTGTTTCTTTTTGCTTCTAGTGGATGCTTGCATTTCTTGGAGTGTGTCTGCATTTCTCCAGTCTCTGTATCCATGGCCACATTGCCACTTTTGTCTGTATGTAACTTCCCTATTACTTTTGGTTTTTAAGAATGTATGTGAGCCATACTTTAGTGTGGTTCAAGTGGTAGAGCACCTGTCTAGCAAGTGTGAGGCCTTGAGTTCAAGCCCCAATGCTTGGCCCAAGTCCCCCCAAAAACCAAACCAAACAAACAAAAGAAACTTTCTCTTTTGTTGCAACAACTTCATTTATTATATTCTATTACAGTCTTTAATCTCTGTCAATACATTCAAAAATAGAGGTGGGTTTAGGAAATCGTGCTTTCAGAACTTTCAGCCATTACACTACCTTGAAACTATGTATTTTGTTTTTATAGTAGGACTTTTTAAAAAAAAACATTTTAATTAACATATATTAGTTGTCCAAAGGGGTTTCACTGTGGTATTTCCCTACATGCACACAATGAACTTCGATCAAATTTGCCCCCTCTATGTCTTCTCCTGTCCCCCTACACCCTTCCTAAAACAATTTCAACAGGTCTTATTGTTCTATTTTCATAAATGTGTATAAAGTACTTTTATCACGAAAGGAATATGAGGACATATATATAAAGAACTTCAACAACAAAAAAAGGAGGGGATGAAACAACTTAGATTGTAATACATATATACAGGGAAATGTCAGAAGGAAACTCCCTATATAGCTATCTTAAACAAACAAAAATATCTTTATTTTTTCTGAAAACAGAGAACAGGAAGGCAAAACAGTTCCTGTCTGGACCCCCCTGAGAAGGGGGACAATATAAAGAAAGGGTGTAGGAAGGTGAATATGGTGGAAATATGATGTATACATTTATGAAAATGAAAAAATGCGACCTGTTGAAATTATTCCAACAACATGGGGAGGGGGAATAAAAGAGAATGATGGAGGAGGTAAATGAACTATGGTATATTGTAAGAGCTTTTGTAAATGTCACTATGTATCCCCGGTAGAACAATAATAAAAACAAACAAAAAACGAATACAGGTGAGTACTGGGCATTGTGGTGCACTGAGAGAATGAGGCAGGAGGATCTTGAGTTGGAGACCAGTCTAGACTACATAGGGAGACTCTGTCTCAATGACCCCACCCCCAAAATGCATATGATTTCATTTAGGGACCACACTGATAATCTCTTCATCTCAAAATACTTAATCACATGGGTAAAAATCACTCCCACCCCCCACATAAGGTAACATTGACAGGGTCCAGGGATTAGAGTGTGAATATCTTTTGGGAAACTGTATTCAACAATATTATTCAACAATATTCAAACAGTATAGCTCTTAATTCTTTTCTTTAACTTTCATTAGTTTGGATGGAGACAGTTTGCTTTTCACCTGACACAATGACCCTTAGGGTGGGGACAGAGAGTTTGCTGGACCCCATCTCAATGGAAAAAAGCTGGGTGTGGTCGTGTGTTCCTGTTATGCCAGATGATGGTGGGGCAGGCTGGCCTGAGCAAAAAGAGGGGCCCTATGTCTAAAATAACCAGAGCAAAAAGGGCTGGAGTCGTGGCTCAAACAGTAGGGTATCTGCCTATCAAGCGTGTGAGCTCAACATCCTAATACTGGAAAAAAAAAATGTGTAAATGGTTAGGCTAAGAGTGGAAGAGGCAGTATTTCTGTCCACAGCACTTTGAGACACACATTGGAAGGCTACTGCTATGAAGGCAGAGGCAGAGCTTTTGCTGTATTTCAAAAGCACAAGAGGACCAGGCAAAGAGCACATGGTCAAGAAGGACTGCCTTGCTCCACATTTGATGTTGAAAGATATTTTTAGAATATACATTAAACTTGCTAGAAAAAAAGTAGGTTTTCTGACATGAGTTTCTAGCTTCTTTTCATATGTTAAGTTGTTCAGTTCTCAGAAACTTGGCCAGGGTTACTATTTACAGTGTGCTCCAGAGAATTTTTAAATAATAGACTTTCCGTTAAGTTGCAAAATTTCTCCTTAGCAGATGTTACATTGAACCAATCTCTTCTTCTGTTTTATGCTCCCCCATAGAGTTCTTCCAAAAATGAGCTTCAGTTTGTAATCCAAGGATAACAGAATGAATGTCCTCTACTACGTGTCTTTTATGTGTAGGCTTTGTATGGGGATTTTGCCAATAGAGGACGATGAAGGAGATTTGGTGTTGAGGCCAAGGTATTTGCTGAGGGAACAGCACCTGTTACTCTCTGGCCTGTCCTCCCTGTGTGTAAAATACCTTCCTCATGGCCTGGCAGAAATTAGGTCAATGCCTACATGTTTCAAGGCTGTTGAATTAAGATACAACCTCATTTTAAAGCTAATTATAAATTATAGAAGCTAGTTATAAATCTTGGCCACTGCTCTTGTTGTTCTGTTTTTGTTGTTCAGATTCATTAATTTTTTAAAAATCACTGTCTTACATTATAGTCAGTGGTCACATTGGTTTTAAGCATTTACTGCTGAGATTTTTGGCAGTACTGAGGCTTGAACTCAGGGCCTCATCCCTGCTAGGCAAGCACTCTAACCACTTGAGCCATTCCCCCAGCCCTTTTTGTGTTGGGTATTTCATGATAGGGTCTTGAAAAAAAATTTAAAAATAAAATATACTGTATATTTACCTAAAAAAACCCCAAAAAACCAAAAGGTAGGGTCTTGCAAACTATTTGCCCAGAGCTGGCTTTGAACTGCCACCCTCCAGATCTCTGCCTCCTGAGTAGCTAGGATTACAGGCGTGAGCCCCTGGTGCCTGGTTTATTGCTGAGATTTATACCATCTCCAGGTTATATAACAGCTATTCCAAAGCAGGACTGAACAAATCTCCAGTTTCTTGGGCTGTTTGCCCTGGGCTCAGTTATCCCTTCATGCAAACATGCAGACGATAGCTAACTTTCCTCTGAACCCAGTTCTCCTGTTTCAGCTTCCATATCAGAGCCTAATACTTATGCTCTCTACATGAGTTTCTGAGGGTGTTTCTGCTTACCACAACCTTCCTCCTGTTATTAAATAGGAGGTTGCATTCCAGAAACAACAGTATTCAGTCTATACCTTGATCAACATTTGCATAAGCTTGTTTTCAGTGCTGCCCTGCTCTACGAACAACGCGAATGCCTGTCTAGGAAAGGAGACACATTTCCTTTATCCTCAAGACCTTTAAATCTGAGTAAGTTTCTTGGTCCCATGTTATATTGATGCTTTGAACATTTATTTTAAGAACACTTTCCTGGATTCTTATAAAGCAGAAATAAAACTTCAAGTACCCATTTAAAAATATATTTGGTATTTTTATTTCATCTTTTCAAGGATCATATATTTTCACCTCATTCTTGAGCCTAACTCTTTGAGAATCATTGATGTGAGAAGATGTTCTGTTGGGTATTTTTAGATGCCTATTATTCTGCTCCTAAGAGTTCACACAATAAGTAGGTAGAAACCTACTGACTGACCTGTTCTGATCTTAAGGTCCCCAAGTGATTGGTGCCACCCTGTTCAATGATTCTAGATTTTTCTGAGTAGCATTGTTAAGTGTTTAGCAATTCTTTTTTTTGAAGCTCTGTAGTCCAGGGTGGAGTTGAACTCATGATCTTCCTATCTCAACTTCCTGAGTGCTAGGATCATAGGCATGTGCCACCATATTCTGTATTATTTTTTTATTTGTAAGTAGTAAATTTGAGCCTTCATTTAGTTTTTGGTTAGCCTCAGTGTTTTCAACTACTGTTAACAAGTAAGATTTTAAGTAGGCGCAGTACTTCCTAATTCCTGTAAACTACTAAAATGTACCAAAGTTAAATAATGTATGGAGGAAAGATGTGAACATACAGAGCTCAGGGCAGAGTCTTGGCAGGATGTTTGGCCAAGGGTCAGACTGTGGTTGGGGAAGGGAACTGACAGTGGTGGTATTTTTATTGACAAGCATGCCAGGCATTTTACATACGTTATCCCATACAATCCCACTTTGGCTGTTTGCTAGCTGTGTTGGGTATTACTTGAATTTTCTACCTCAATCCTCCTGTTTGCCAAAACCTAACTAAGTTAAACCAAACCAAAAAATTCATAGAGTTATTCTGAATTTGAAAGATTATATGTAGCTTGCTAAGACTAGTGCCTTGGCTAGGTGTGGTAGCACATGTCTGTAATCCCACCTTTTGGCGGCTGAGGAGGATGATTGTGGGCTCGAGATCAGCCTGAGCTATGTAGCGAGATATTGCCTCAGACTAGTACCTAACACACAGCAACTACTATGTGAATGTTTGCTTGCTGATGAAGATACCGAGGTTCCAGGAGGCTAGAGAACCAGGCCATGATTGACCTTATAAGAGGATGCAGTTGAAGGACATACAGTGTTTTTGATACCAAGGAATTTTTCTCTTCTTAGTTTTGAGTCTATGTTTTATTAACTCTGTAACCTTAGGAAAAACACATAACACTCTGAGCCTTGGTTTCATCATTTGTTAAATAAGGATAATAACATTTATGGCCCCTTTCACTTCTAATATGCCACAAATTGTATTATAAACTTTGGTGACCAATGAATTTACTTGCCTATGGGGAAAATTTGTTTCTGTCTGGAAATGTGTAGGGACTAAAATTGTTGGCCCTGGTCTTGTGGCAGATGACCATTAGAAGTGCCTGCTAGGGACTGGATGTGGAACTCAGTGGAAGAATGCTTAACTGGCATGTACAAGACCTTGGGTTTGATTCCCAGAACTGCAAAATACTTAGTAAATAAAAATCACTAAATGTGGAGTACCCACAGGTGAGCAATATATTTTTAGTCCTCCACTAGCTTAACTGTACATAACACTGATGGGTTGTAATGATAACTGTTGCCTAGGCTACTTTTCAGGGACTTGAAAGCCACTTTTGTTGAAACCTCTACTGACTCTTCACTTTGGCCTGTGAAAGTGTCTCATAGGTGACTTTTTTTTTTTTCTTTTGAGACAGGGTCACACTATGTTAGCCCAGCTGGACTTAAATTTGAAGTCTTCCTGTCTCAGCCTCATGAGTGCTGAGATTACATGTGTACCACCATATCCTGCACTGATGAGTGACCTTTTGACATTAGGGTGCCAACAACTCAGATTATGCTAATGCCACCATTTTCTGAACATGTGTCCCATGAAGTCACCTGATTATTTTACCTCCAGTAACCTTTTCCCATCCCTCAGGCCATTCTGCTTTTTCATCCATATATTTCCCCAAACCCTATACCTAGAGGAGGTGGCTTTAAGAGTTGGGTCCCTACCTCCATGCTAAGCCACCTTATTTTTTTTTTTTTCATTTTTCTTTTATTATTCATATGTGCATACAAGGCTTGGTTCATTTCTCCCCCCTGCCCCCACCCCCTCCCTTACCACCCACTCCACCCCCTCCCGCTCCCCCCCCCTCAATACCCAGCAGAAACTATTTTGCCCTTATCTCTAATTTTGTTGTAGAGAGAGTATAAGCAATAATAGGAAGGAACAAGGGGTTTTGCTGGTTGAGATAAGGATAGCTATACAGGGCATTGACTCACATTGATTTCCTGTGCATGGGTGTTACCTTCTAGGTTAATTCTTTTTGATCTAACCTTTTCTCTAGTTCCTGGTCCCCTTTTCCTATTGGCCTCAGTTGCTTTAAGGTATCTGCTTTAGTTTCTCTGCATTAAGGGCAACAAATGCTAGCTAGTTTTTGCTAAGCCACCTTATGAATAAGCTTTCTCTTTTGCAAAACTCACTGTTCTCGTGATTGGCATACTGTTTAATGAGAAAAATGGGCCTGGTTTGGGAATATCAGTGCATTTCTTTCATTGGGAAAAGTCTTCCTGGGCCCCCCAACAAATGACAGTACCCGTAGCCCCCTCTTCAGGCTTGGGACAGGGGAAGAGCTTTCATTCAGTTTGTTACACTGGAATATAGGGAATAACTGAAAATCAACTGATAACAATACAAAAGCAAGATGAGTGAATGGTGGGCAAACTTAGGCTTTGGTAAGACAGAAGACATGAATGACAAGGGGCAAACTTTTCGGAGTTTTTAGTTATGGGAGGATGAAAACCCATGACTGTTCTGAAGTTTTCTTAGGCACACAAGAAAAGAGGTGGCACCAAAGTTATTTGATACTGGCAATCTGAAAGACAGTAAACATAGCTGCTTTCCAAATGCTTAGTCATGTCCATAATGACAAGGAGAAACACTTCAAACTCTTAACTTCCCTGGGGTCCTGGTCTTCAAGATTGCCTTTACTGAAATAACTTGCTCATGTTTTAAATTTAGCTATGATCAGTGCTTCCCTTCCCAACCCCCACTCACTTTTTCCCTTTTTGTTTTTAATCCTTAAACCTGTTTTCATTCAGCTTTGTTCTAATTCCATGAGCAAAAGGAAGCAGTAGCAAGTATCTGTTATAGAGGGAAGTGGTTTTGTTTTTAAAAAAATATTGTTTGTGGATCTAGTGTAATAATTCTGAAGAGCAATTCCTAAATTAATGATGCCCCTCCTCTCTGTGAAATTATTTTAATAACAATAAAAAATTGCTTAGGCATGTGGGAAAGTGTGTTCCTGTTAGATATTTCAACCCCCCCAAAAAACCCTTTCAGTGGAATTCCTGTTATAATAAGAGCAAGACACAGGGACAGGGCAGAGATAATGGAGCTGAAAGCGTTATCAAGCACTCATAAATAGCATCCTTAAAAACATTTTAAAGCATTATGTATTAAGCTAAAAGGAAAAAAATGTGTTTTTATATTTTATTCCTTTTGGAAAATATTGATGAGTAAAGAATATGTCCAGATTTTATAAGCCTGTGGGATTTTAAAGTGGAACTATCATAAAACTCCAGCTTTTGAAATCATTTAGTATTCATTTTTCAAAAAATTAACCTTTTCTGTGCTCTAAATAAATATACTGAATAATTACAAGTCAGCAATAATTTTATCTAGTAAATGAAAGTGTCTCCTATATACCAATTTCCTCTTTATTTTATTAAGGCCATAGTTGAGGTGTGATGTGTGTCTGAGAGTGAGTGCAGAGCAGAGGCAGGTGGCTCTGGAAAAGAAGATTCAGAGTAAATTACTGGCTATTCAGGTGCAGCTTCCTGTTTCTTTTCCTTTATTCCACTCCCATACACATCTCTTTTCTTCTGTGTTCCTCCTGAATCCCACTGGATGCTTAATGTCCTGCTCTCCTTTGTTGCTTTGGGGCCTAACTTTGCTGGGTGAAATAACATCCAGAGCTTTTGACTTCTGTCTACCTCCTCCCACATCCAAGTCAGATCAGGGGTCTGAGGGATGGCTTTGGGTCACTGATGAGAACTGAATTCCTGTGGGCATGGTAGCAAAGAAGGGGAAACCAAACAGCTGACATAGTAGGGCCTGAAACAAATTGTTCACGGAAGCATTTATTTCAAACCAACACACAGGTAAACACGTGTTATAGGCACCGAAGTACAAAGGTGAATGACACCTGGTACCCATTTTCAAAGAACTAAACTCTTCTAGTAGAATTAATGGGAAGGAAAATCAGGATTGGCATTGGTCCATTTTATAGGAGTTCTCAATTCTGGCTGTGAAGAAGAATCACCTAGGTTTTTAAACAGTGGTTTTGAAACTTTAGGGTGTATCAGAATCACCCCAAGGGTTTGTTAAATCTGGGAGCTGAGACTCAGCCCGAGTTTATCAATCAGGTCGTCTGGAATGCAGATGGGAACTTGCATTTCTATCAAGTTCTGTCAGCTGAGGGGGTCCCATGACTGTTCTGGGAGAGCTGGTTTAAATTATAAGGATTTCCAGGTCCCAGTTCCAGGCACATTCAATGGGTGTAGTGATGGAAATCTGGGTTTGATCTTTTTTAGTCCCTTAGTTTTAATGGGTGTCCAAGGCTGAGAAGCAGTGTTCCTCTGGATAGGCTCTGGTTGGCCTCCTAGAAGTTGCTATGAGTTTGGGACTCAATTCATCTACACATTTCTATGAGTCGACTGGTCTTAAAGTCATAGTGTCCATTAGAATCCCATCTGAGTTCTCCTCGGGTCCTTTAGGGCTTACCTAGCCCTTGTAGGGCCAACAAGTGGGCTGGGCATGCTCACTGGGCAGGGTCGGTTTTGAGGGTGCAAGTGGGAAGACTGCTGCTTAACTGCTGGGGCTTTCCATCTCCCCCCACCTGTGCGAGGCTGGGCCTGAGAAGCCTGTG